TACAATGGAGACTATAGGTAACACTCACTTACGCCTTCGACAAGCTTTAGCCTACGAAGGCTTCGTAAAGCCAGCAGGGGAGCGGAGTTCAGCTTCCAACAGTGACGAGTGGCCCTCAACAGAAGAAGCGCAGGAGTCCCGCGAATTTCGAATCACGGCTTGGCATTTATGGGGCTCAGGGTCTCCCCCAGCGCAACTGAAAAAAAAAGTTGAAGCTGTTAAACCCTGGGCTGCAGTAGGCCATTACTTTTGTCCAAGAAGCTTCCAGCTCCTGTGGGTGCTTCAAGAAGGCCGGCGGTGGCGGGGAAGGCGGCTCCTCACCCGTCCCAGCAGAGATGCTGATTGGTAGTTTCCAATACAGGCTGAAACGTGTACATCGGCCCAATGGCCTTTGCTCGCAACTCTAGAAACTCTAGAACACCTACTGTAAGCCTGTCAGTACATGTTCTTCTTTTCGGTTTAGGTTTCGTTGTGCTTCTGACTCACGCACTGCGGTTTAGGCATCAGGGTGTTTTAATGCTGAGGGTCCGGAAACCCTCAAGGCGCTAATGTATATAGGGGCCTTAATAATTAGAATTGGGTTTTGGCGTCCAGTATACTGTAACTATAAGGAACCCCCAAAATAGTATTGGCAGTTATTTCGGCCCCTATCTTACCCTAACCTTCCAGGTACCTACTATATAGGGTAATAGAGCCCCTAAGGCCCTATATAGTAGGTACCTGGAGGGTTATTAAACCCTAAACCCTAAACCCTACAGAAAGGGTGTCAAAAAACCACAAAACATGCAATGCAAAAACCCAGGCCCCATGACAGCCCACTCTCAAACCCTAAGGGTTAGAGGTGGCAATCTCTTGCCATGGCCGAGGGCTGGGCCGGGAGCGGCGGCACTGAGGGCGCAGGGGCTTTCAGCCGGAGGCCCGAGCGAATCTGCATAGGGTTCATTTAGGACAGTTTCAGGTGGGTAGGTACCGTAATGGGAGCCTTATAGAACGTCTATATACCTTATAGATGCCTTACAGAAGCCCTATATATACTATATACCCTACGCTGCTATAGGGCATTTCTTTGTTTGCAGCTTGATGGGACTGCACAGAGTCGGAAAGGCGACTTTCGCTAGGTCTTTTTGGGGCTTTGGGTGCCGTGTCGAGGTTGAGGCTTCCGCTCTTCCAGTCCCAAAGGGTCCAAGTTATGGTATAGTATAGGGTTTAGGGTTTAGGGTTTAGGGTTTAGGGTTTAGGGTTTAGGGTTTAGGTATATACTTTGGGGGTCCAAATACCTACAAAGTAGCTACCATATTAGTACTTGGACCCTTTGGGAGTTGCTGTGTCGGGGGTTCTGCGTCCTGGGCTTCACCCAGAGCTCGACTGCAAGATGCGTCCATGCAGCTTAGGTTCAGAGCCATGAGTCCTCGATCCTGAATCCGTAACATCGGGACCGCAATAACACAGTAGCATGTCTGCAATGCACTAAGCCCTGAATTCCTTCAGCCAAGTTCCATACGCCACTGAATAGTATTACATCGTACTATTAACTGAGTCTGTGCATCATCAAGCATGCCCTGAAGGGCTTGATCTCTTTCGGGCTCGAGATGAATCTGATGATAATTACAGCGCTTCGACAGCTATCGCTTGGTTTCGGAGCTGACACTGGGGCAAGCAGGCATGCTTGGTTTAGGACTTAAGGGGTTTAGGGGAAGCGACATAGTGAGTCTTCACGATGCGTAGCCCCACAAAACCAGACCTCACATTACGAACTGCTGGTAAGAATGTTCTCCAGGAGTACGTGCCTAACGATGGTCGGAATGAGACCACAACGCTATTCTCGAGGACTGTGCTTCCCGTCATGTTCTTGCACACTGCAATAGTACAAATATACCGGCGCCGATCGCAATGTCGCGTCAGTAGACCAAGTCAGCGAATGCATGGTACGTACGGCGTACGGTCTCCTCCTGCGCTGTGCGGCCTCATCATTGTTAGTCTGATTGTTCCTATGGTTGCTGTTGCTGTTGGTAAGGATCAACTATGAGGTTCTGATGATGCGGCGACTCAGATCTCTCGCCTTCTGAAGCTCCCATTCCTAACGGAGCCTGGTCACGATGTAGGCAACCATATGAAAAACCGAACTTAGACCCTGTACCCATAGGCTCCATTGTAGTTCCCTTTGGGGATTACCTTATAGGATCTTAAATATATCTTAAATATAGACCACAAGATGGAACTACAATGGAGCATATAGGATAGCGCTTCTCTGAGATACGAGGTCTTTGCTGCGGCGCCTGGGGTACGGATTCGCCCACGCCGACCTCGAGTCTTAGCAGCAGGTGAAGGGATGTGCAATGTACTACCGGCGCCGGCAACGCAGGAATCTTCAGAGTTTCGGAGCCTGAGGAAAGTCACACGGTTTAGGAGTTCAGGGTTTAGAGCAGTAGAATTCCATCTCGCGCTTCGTCCTCAAGACTTCAGACGACGCACGGAAAGAATCATGTGTACAATGCTGTCAATCATCCCGAGCCGATGATGGTCTGTGAAAATCAGTCTAACTAACCAGAAGTCTGGCTCGGGACCAAAGGTGAAGCACCTGCGAAACGAGAAATTCCTTGCAAATTTCGCAATCGAAGACATAAATAAATGCCAACTGCGTATGAGCATAGGCCTATCCGACTCTTCAGGAAAAAATATTATGTTGATGCATCTCAGCCCTCCCCTAGCAAGCCATGTGACATTGGCCGCAACACCTCCGACAGCACATCGGCCACGTGCATCCAGTCCTCAGTAGCAGTACAAGGCTGATTTGCTGGTGCATAGATACACATATTAGTTGCTTGCCCGCTTCTGTATATCCATACACTTAAGCCTTACACCTGCATGAGAATATGTGTGTGTGTGTGTGGGTGTGTCTGTGTGTGTGTGTGCGTGTGCGTGTGCGTGGGCATGTGCTTGTACGGTGTGCTATATATGGAGAGTCCTATAATGATGTTCGTCCTATGTAATCATCACCCTGGAAAGGCGTCGATGGGCCTCCTATTCTCATTGTTTCTCATTCACGTAAGCACTTTCATGAGATGCAGTGCAGGCGGTGTACATCCGCATGTTTCTACCTGCCTACCTCCGTGCCCGCTTAACTACAGCTGGCTTGCCGGCCACGTGCCTCTGCAGTATACGGACAACGAGAACAAGTGGACGTATTGAAATGAATCTGCTGCATCTGTTCACAGGAGGTCCATGAATGTGCCACTATATGCAAGCGGTTAAGTTTGTATTATGTTCGCTTGCATGCTAACAGCCTTCATGTTACACTACTCGTACTGCTTGTCTTGTGACATGCACAACTTTCAAGCTTCTGCTGGTTCAGTCCGGCCGTTTAGTTCAGTACAGTAGCCTGCGATGTGCGCTGCCCGAATCAAAAGCACACAGAGTGGTGTTCCAAGGATGAAGTTGTTCCTATCGGACTCACGACGCTGGGTAAAGCAATCAACACTGCTCTGAACCCTTACATAAACGTCCTCACAGATTTGAAACAACTGCGGCGAAGACAAAGCTTGGGCAGCCGAAAGAAGGGCCTGGTTGCCTGAACTGTAGCCAAACTCAAACACTTCGTGAGCGCTGAAAACTGGGTGCCCTACCGGTATAGAAGCCGCTGTAGCCGGTGATCGCCATGCACTATCCTGGACTCCTCTCCCTAAATGGTTGCCAAACTGCTCCGAGAAGAAACAGACCAGAACTCAATACTTCCGACTTCAAACTGACTGGCAAACCCACAGTTCGATCAAGAGGTGGCTCCTCCGGACTCGTGGCACTTTGGCACACGGCACGGGATCTTGACCACAATGGCGGCAGAAATGCATTGACGTGGCTGCGGTCGTCATGGTCTCCCACACTTCATGTGCTTCAGAACTTCTGCCGTGCTATTCCCCCACTAAATCACAGGGTGTAGGAAGTCGAAGGGCCCACATGCGCCCCATGATTGTTATTTTGGCTCCCAAAAATGGGCACCACGTACATTCCCCATTCACCACCTTTTCCTGCGGAAGCTTCCGTGCACTTACCAACATCCGCTATCAAAATTCTACTTCACGTGCACTTTAAGGCTTAGGGTCTCAGGTTCAGGGTCTAAGGTCAAGGGCCTTACGTAAATGGAAACTCTAATCCCGAACACCCGCTGAAAAGGGAAGCCGGCAACACACATGAAGCGAAAGCATTTTCAGATTCTCACTGACATCGCGGCATTAGCCATGCACAGCTGCGCCACATTCGCTGCAACACCATTTAATTGCTTGAATTGCTGATGCAATCATTGCTACTTGGGTGCCGATGCACGTACTTGCACTTCACCGGCTTCCGGCAAACTTGCGCTCCAGCTCATTGAACACCGCCCTCCTGTTCTCTTGCACCTTGTGCGCTTTGAGGCGATCGCGACGCTCGCTGATAATGGCGAGTAGCTTGTCACAGCTCGCCTTCCTGCTCTCAATCATCTGCTGAGCTGCTCCGAGCGCCTCCAGGCTCGACATGTCCACGAAGTTCTGGAAGGCATCTTCATCAACGGCCATGCCTGGAGAGTGTTCAAACTTGTCGGGGAAGCTGCCCAACTGAGTGGTGCTCCCCGATGCCCTGGGCTCTTGAACCTTTGATTGATCAGCATGGCGCTCCTTGACAGGTTTTTTGGAGAGCAGGCCGACGAAACTTTCATTGATGATCGCCTCAAGAATGGGATCCATCCACTTCTTGGCGTTCCATCGGCGCTGGGCAGCTTGGCAGGGCCGGGGAGACCTGTGATCTCCATCAGAATCAAGGCTCTGCTTCCTCCGAGGGTTGAGGTTGCTGAAACTTTCCTCGGCGATCGCCTCAATCTTCTCTTCAAACAACTTTTCCTCGACGATCGCCTTAATCTTCTCTTCAAACAACTTCTTCTCCATTGCTGGCGTCATGAGCGACTACAATGTCAATGCGGCCCCTTTGTGTACACAACTGCCGGTAACCCGCTGCAAACAAACACTTCGCGCACTAGTCATCCAGGCTTGAGTACCCAGCTTCAGCTTTGGCCTTGAGCATTACAACGAAGCAAAACCCACTTTCAATCCACTCTAGAACAAAACGACAAGACTTTCTAATCTGCAGCAGCTTCGGTTTCAGCATTTGCGGGGGGCCTGGAGCTTTTGTTGGGTCACCTTGGCCACTGGATGCCCAACCAACCCATTTCCCAGGCTCCACGCATTCAGGTACAACTTCTCCAATGGAGCCTGTCAAGCCAAACACTGAATATGAATAAGGATCCAGTGGCGTGCATGGGCTAAATTACTGCTATGCTACCCAAGACCTGAACTCGGGCAGCCGGGTTCCTGCTCAATCTCAGGTGGGTCGTACTGCGCCATCTGCTGCATGTAGAAGCTCCTGATCGGATTCGGGCGGGAGATCCAAAAAATGATTGCCAACATTGGCGAACTCAGTGCACTTGAGAGCAGCGGTGTGGTGACTCGCAACGAAGACACCCGAAAGCTTCGAAACCACGCTGCATCCCTGAAGGCTCTTGAATGTCGACAAAACCGCGACTTGTAGGGATGATATAGGGGCCTGAATAATTAGAACAGGGTTTTGGGTATAATGCACCCAACAAAAAGCATAGGTAATCATTTAGGCCCCTATATTAGGTTGCAGCTGACCCGAGGCAGAAGAAGCGATACAAAGCAGCACATCGGGGGCTTGAATTTGAATCCTTTCCAAAAGGTCCGGATTACACTCTGAGCACCAACATGTAAGAAAACCCTGGCGTGGAACAACCCGCAGCTATCCTCTGTAGGGTTTATGGGGTTTAGGGTGTATAACCAGTATGATAGGAGCACGTTGCCGCAGAGACACTCTAGAGCTTTACGGATTGGGCTAAGTACCAGCTGCTTTCTCCATGAGGGAACCATAAGGAACAATGAGCGGACAGGTACAGCCCAGGCCCAGCCGACAAATGTATAACTGCTGCCTGATTTTCAAGCCTTTTGAACCCTAACACCCTACAAACAGAGTGCCTTGCATGCGTCTAGTATCCCCAACAAAACCACGTGCCCAGATCGAGCAGCAACTCATGCCAACCTTCCGGCCCAAGCCCTCAGCCCTGTTTGGAAGCCCAACCCCTAAGCAAATGTAGTCCATCCATGGTCAAGCTTCGCTGTTCAAGTTGGGGTCACTAAGCGTTTCCTCTGCAATGCAAGACTCCGACGGCTACTGCAGGGTGATGATCACGGCAAGAAGTTCAACATTCTACGTACTCCCACTTGCTGGTTCTTGGTCTATGTCCATTTCAGTTTTTCGTCAGCATCACTGCGAAAGTCCCGGAAGAAGCAGTGGCGGCTTTTGAGGGGTTTCCAGCGATGTGATGCATGCTTGAGCAGTCGTGCTGGCCCCTCCAATATTGGATTGATGCATTGGCCACTGATCCGGCTACGAACCGTAGTCACAGTCACTACTCGGGCATTGGGTGCCAACGTTCGTCGGCACAACCAGTCCTCGTTTTTGCATCCCAACCTCAACCTGCTTACTCGAGAGCCAAACCTTGCCAACTTTCGTATTGTTTGACCAGCAGACTGATCTTCACTCGCGATCTTGCAATATGCCGGCTGCATATCTGCTGCAAAAATGCACAGGTAGACGATGCACAGATACATGCATAGGAACCACGTATCAAACCGATTCGTATATGTCACTGTATGCCCAGACATTCGTACATGAACACAGGAGCGTGCGCACACACACACACAGACAGAGAGACAGCGACACAAACACACCCTGAACCTTTCTAATTAAGCCCTGAAGCACCAGTACGCCAAACGCTAAACCGTGGAAAGCCGAACGCTCGATGTTGTTGGGGGTTTCGGCCTCGGAACCAAACGGATGGCCACACCGGGGAAGACGCGCCCTGGAGGAGGGTTCTTGCTGCAGGGGTTCATAAGGCGTTTATCGAGTCGCATAGAGTGCCTTACCAGGGAATTGATAGAGTTTTCTAAGGGTTAGCGGTTGGAATGTGCGTGCCATCATCGCGGAAACCATGAACATATGGGGGCAGTTCCGTGCTGGGCTGTAGCTGCACGGTTTATCGGGCCTCAAAATTAATTCTAGATTCTAGACCCTGCAAAACGTATGGCAGCTGGCTGGGCGCTATTCTTCAGTTCTCGTCAGCTCCAAACTACGACGCTTGGGCAAGGAGAGCTGGGCGAGACAACAAGTTGAAGTATGTAGGGTATAGGCCAGAACGGATGAGGTAGCTTCTTTTCCAAGACTTCGTGCACATCCGCGTGACAAAAATCAATGCCCATCTTGCCTGCCAACCTCGACACTCAACCAGTTTACAACACCCTGTCGGTCACAAGAGCCCGTCCCCGACCAAGCGCTAACCCTAAATCCCTGCACACCCTAAAGTCCCAAAACCTGTCTACTAAGCAGGCTGGAAAAAAAGAGCGGAATAACACTTTTTTGCAACAGGCTTCGTACTTCGCCTGGAGTCGGTATAACCCTAAACCCTAAAACCCTAAAACCCTGAAACCCTAAACCCTAAATATCCCGATTTTCTTCGCTGCTCGGCCTGCGCGGCCTGACCGTTGTGATGCCGCTGCATGAGACACCCACCTTGGCGTTCACTTGGGGGTTCCCCAAAATAGGGGACCCTAATTTTGTACCCTAAATAGTCGGATTCCTATTATAAGGACCCCAAAATAAGGTACCCCCTATTTTCGGAAACCTCCACTTCCTCACCGTCTCTCTCTCTCTCTCTCTCTCGCTCGCTCTGTCGGTTTGTGGCATCTGCTTTGGCGGTTGAGTGGGTGAGCTTCCGGGGACCAGCGCACCGAGCCGGAAACGGCCCTGAACACAGCGTCTGAGTCGGGAATCGGCAACCGCTACATGGATCTGTGGGCAAAGCTTCATGGCAGTCGCAGTAGTCCTGCTGTGGGCACATTGTGTTTCCAGGCTGAGCTTATCGCAAGTAGCATGTCTCTACGAAGGCACAATTGGGTTGGGGCTCTTAGACTTCTTTGAAGAAGCTGGCCATGTAAAGATCCTGCCTGAACGCCACGAGCCCGGAACTGTGTCAGCAGACAGCGGACGCCGTGCTCTGATCGGCCTGATGCATCCCTAACCCCCCAGGTACCTACTATATAGGATACTAGAGCCCCTACAGTAGGGCCCTATATAGTAGGTACCTGGGGGTTAGGGCATGTTAGCCACTTTTTACTGCGGCCTTTAAGCGCTTAGGGGAGCTTCGGCTTCGCTCACAGCTCGGACCAAGGAGGTCAAGGAGTGAGTGTGGGGGATTCCGGGGGGGCTTCCCTGCAGATTCTCCCCAAAGTATATATTATACTATAAATTTGACCCTTTGGGTCTATCTATTTCGGAGTTTCTATCTACTGTCTGGTGCTTAGTAGGGAATGGGGGAATGGATCCCTATGATAGTCCCCTAAGGTCCCTTATAGTAGTCCCTATAACCCATTCCCCCATTCCCTACTAAGCACCAGACAGTCTATTTCGGAGTAGCCCCAGATGAGAGATGTACTGAGATGTACGGATGCCATGCGACCTTCGGCTTAGGGCTTTGGCTTGGCTCCTTTAGGCTATCCTAGACTCAATGAAGGGATCAAGCTTTCACAATGTTGCTTTTCGCTGGTCTCCTACTTACATCTCTTTTTGACATGTTGCCGGGTCTAGTGGTGTTAGGGCAGAAAGGCGCAATTGCTATGAATATCATCTTATCATCATGATTACTCGGTCGAGCCGTTCCGAAGCCACAAGAGAGTTCAAGGAGTATCCCATGGGGTCTGGCTCGAACACCTGCGTCAACAGTCAGCCTGGTCCTACTTAGCGATGGTTACACTACTGCCCATAGCAAATACCACCAACAACCATCATCGTCAAACAACCCAGCGAAACCGTGCTAGAACGATGTCACAACAACTCAGAATAACGTAGAACCAATAGCTAGAATTTAGAGTCGGGGAGAAGCTCATCCCTCAAAGATCCATGGGGAAGTTACGAGCTCGGATGTTGCGGGAGCTCGGTGTAGTGTAGGGCTTGATTGTGAGTTCTAAGTCCGCCTGCTGCCAATTGACGGCGAAGGCATGCGTCAATCACGACGCGCACCTGCCAAACACAGGGGGATTTGGCGCACTTGATCGGCAGAAGGGTGAAGGACCTTCCATCGTTTTCTGTCTGGTGCTTACTAGGGAATGGGGGAATGGGTTATAGGGACTACTATAAGGGACCTTAGGGGACTATCATAGGGATCCATTCCCCCAGTCCCTACTAAGCACCAAACAGTTTTTGTTGTTTATCTTCTGGGTTTGTCTTCTTCTGAGCATTCTAGTATCGTTTCCCCAGGGGTTCCGCCTGCTTCCATTTGTGCACGGGTTTGCCCTCTATCTATGTATCTGTATGAGTACGAACACACATATACATACATACACATATATATATATATATACATATAGTTATACAGGTATATAGATACACATGTGTATAATATATATATATATATATATATTTATATTTATATTTATATATATGCCGGTATAGATGCGTGTATATACTTATACCATCTACTTCTACAGCTCTATAAATCTGTTTATCCTTCTCCATCTATCTATCTATCTTTCTCTCTGTCTGTCTAGATCTACATATATATATATATATATGTGTGTGTGTGTGTCATATTATATTACATTATAATATATTATATTATACTATAGTATATTATATTGAATTATATCATATTATATCTTATTATATTATATTATATCATATCATATTATATTATATTATATCATATTATACTATATGATATTATATTATATATTATATATTATATAATCTATTTTATTATATATATATACACTATATATAATCTATATATATATATATATGTTGATTTATTTATGCAAGGCCTTGGGGAGAG